TAACCAGGTGTGATCTGGTATACACCAGGTGTGATCTGGTATAACCAGGTGTGATCTGTTATAACCATGTGGGATCTGGTATCATAATGTGGGATCTGTTATAACCAAGTGTGATCTGTTATAACCAGGTGTGATCTGTTATAACCAAGTGTGATCTGTTATAACCAGGTGTGATCTGATATCACCAGGTGTGAGCTGGTGTAAGAGGTGTGACCAAATGTAACTTACATGTGAAACAAAGGTGAACTTTTGATCTTTTTCCTGAAGAAAAACCAATATGTCTGACATCAGCAACACCTGCACATCTGGGCATAAACATAAACACTGCAGTCAGCAGATTTAAGCTCCGCCCACACAGGTGTAACATTATAGCAGGTAAACATGATACATCATGAACAAACATTCACTTTACAGAACTCTTTTTTTAACCTTTCATTCTGGATCCCTGGACCTTCCAGAGGAGGGTTCCCTCATGGAGAAGTTTCCTCCTCAGCAGTTCTCCTCCTTTGAACATTCCTCCTCCCTGGACCTCAGCTTGAGCCCGAGGGTCCAAACGAGCCTGGATTTCTTGCAGCCTCCTTGTTCGGTCCAGTTCCAGAACCTCTTGGTCCACTGAGCTAATCAATTCTTTTAGAAGAATTAAGGCCTTCTTCAGAGCCAGGATCTCATCTTCACAACCTGCAGAAGTTTATAATGGTGTCAGTGTGAGAGTCCAATTGTTGGATTCACAGGAGGTCATAGGTACGAAGTACAAGGGCACAGGTCACAGGTAGGAGGGTACAGGTAAAGCCACAAATCAAAGGTAGGGGTTCACATCACATTCTATACTACAAAGATTCCATGTCTACAGCCAAATCCATTTATTATTCCAGTGTAATCAGTTCAAATGAGGGTAATTTCAAAGCCCTCTTCTCCCTACTTTCAATTATTACAAAAACACCTGATTCACTTCCTCCTCATTTGTATTCCTCTCATTTTTGTAACACTTTGGTATCATTTTTCTCTTCAAAAATTGCACATATCCACCAACAATTGCTACCCACTGTGGCTTTAATGTCATCTGTTCCAGTTCCAGCTGCACCTACTAATTCACTTTCTGTATTTCTTGGTTGTTCTTGGTAAAGCTACCTTTCCCTTTCTGTCCCCTTTGATCACAGATATTATACATTCTTCCCTCACCACTGGTGTTGTTCCCCTTGCTCTCAAAACAGCTGCTGTAACTCCAGTACTCAAAAAACCTGGTTTAGATCCCAGTAATCTCAATAATTTTCACCCCATTTCAAATCTTCCATTCATCTCCAAAATTCTTGAAAAAAACAGTAGCTGCTCAACTTCATGCTCATTTGTCTTACAATAATTTATATGATCAAATTCAATCTGGTTTATGTCTGCTCCACAGTACTGAAACAGCTCTGCTTAAAATCACCAGTGACTTTCTCCTTACTGCTGATTCTGGTTTATTATCCATACTCCTGCTTGATCTGACTGTGGCCTTTGACACAATTTCACACAGCATGCTTCTTAACAGACTTTCCTCTCTTGGCATTGTAAATACACCTCTCAACTGGTTCCATTCATACCGTTCAGGCCACACTCAGTTTGTTCATTTAAAATCATCCATGTCTCACCCTGTTCCTGTTACCTCAGGTGTTCCCCAGGGCTCTGTCCTGGGACGCTTGTTGTTTATCATTTACCTTCTTCCCCTTGGTTACATTTTTCGCAAACATCATATTTAGGCCCTATTTACACGGACACAATGGAGGAAACTTAGTTTTTTTCGTATGTTAATTAGAGGAAAAGATTCACGTTGACACGGTCGTATTTTGGGTTTACATACATCCGCAGGAATCCCCCCCGCCCTCCCGAATCCACTGTAGTTACCATGCCAGGTCATTAGATGGCACTGTGAATTTTGTACCTTCACCTAATGCACATGCGTGCTGCCTCGGCACGCTCCTTTCCTGTGGGCTAAAAAGCTCAGCTAACAAAAATTTAACAAGTTAAAGCTGGGTTCTGGCTGGATTGTGGACAAGAGTCGACAGATTCGATGCCAAGCCGGACCGCTTTGTCTAACAGCTCCGCACCAGTCGTTGAGTGGAACAGAACCGAGTCGACGATGTCGGACTTTACTCCGTGATAATCAGTAGCTGGTTTACAGCAGGTGGGTTCAGAAACCTCCGGTTTCAAAGAGGGGGGCCACTGGTGTCGTGTAAATCATCAGCAGAACCACAGAGAGAAAGCTGCGGATGCACTCAAAATACGTACCATGTAAACGGCCCCTTAGTTTCACTGCTATGCGGATGACACCCAACTCTTATCTCTCAACCAAACGTAACTCTACACTTCCACCCTTGTCCCTCACTGATTGTCTCCTTGAAATAAAACACTGGTTCATTTTAAACTTTCTTAAACTAAATTGCAAAAAAACAGAACTTCTTTTAATTGGCACTAAATCAATACTAAATAAACTTCATAGCTTCTCCATTCCAGTTGATAACTCTTCCATCCTTCTAAAAAAGTTAAATCTGGTCCTCTGGACATTCAAAAAAAACAAAAATAAAAAAACTGTAGAAACGTTTCGTCTTCCATCCGAAAGACTTCCTCAGTCTGAGGTGCTGTATTCAGTTCAGTCTTATAAATAACATCCTCTCAGAGTGGCTCAACCAGTTTGTTGCTGACAACCAAAATCAGCTGATCACATGATCAAGAAGGACCATCAGCCTAACAATGGATCATTAGCACCTGATGGCTGTTTACTATTCACAGAGGGCTGAGTGATACTAGCAATCACAGCATTGTAAGAGGGGGACAGTTGAACCCGGAGGCCTCCACCCCTGTTTAATGATGGACGGTTTCTTTTCACAAAGAGTTTCTGTGTTCAACTGTCCCCCTCTTACAATGCTGTGATTGCTAGTATCACTCAGCCCTCTGTGAATAGTAAACAGCCGTCAGGTGCTAATGATCCATTGTTAGGCTGATGGTCCTTCTTGATCATGTGATCAGCTGGTTCTGGTTGTCAGCAGCAAAACTGGTTGATCCACTCTGAGAAGGTGCTATTTATAAGACTGAGCTGAATACAGCACCTCAGACTGTGGAAGTCCTCAGGATGAGAGACAAAACGTTTCTACATTTTTTTTTTTGAATGTCCAGAGGACCATACTTAACTTTTTTAGATTTTTCTACCTGGATTATTGAGCATGCATCAGGATATCTTCCATCTTTCCCTTCCATCAAGTTAAGAGTCTGGGTGTCATCCTTGATAGCACCCTCTCCTTCTCCTCCCATGTCAATAATATCACTTGGTCAGCCTACTTTCATCTTCGAAATATTAATCGTCTCCGTCCTTTGCTCACTTCTCACTCCAATGCTGTTCTGGTCCACAGTCTGGTCACCTCATTTAGATTATTGTAATTCTCTTCTTTTTGGCCTACCACAGAAAACCCTCTATAAATTACAACTGGTACAAAATTCAGCGGCCCGTATCATTACTCGGACCCCTCAATCTATCACATCACACCTGTTTTACAACGGCTTCATTGGCTTCCCATCCCATATCGCATCAGCTACAAAATACTCCTCCTTACCATCAAAGCTGTCCACAACCTTGCTCCTTCGTACCTTTCGGACCTTGTTCACATTGCTACACCCAGTCGTACCCTCAGATCCTCTTCTTCTATTCAGCTCATTGTTCCCCTTGCCCGTCTTGTTACTATCAGGAGCAGAGCATTCAGCTGCTCTGGGACTCACTCCCACCTGATATTCGCAACACAGGCTCATTGCCACATTTCAAATCCAAACTCAAAACTTATCTGTTTAAAGTAGCCTATGCACTGTGATTGCAACTGCATTGTCTTATCTTAATTCTATTTTACTTGTTTTTACTGTGTATATAATATTGTCTGTTTTTATGATTGACAATGTAAGGTGACCTTGAGTGCCAAGAAAGGTGCCTACAAATAAAATGTATTATTATTATAAAGGTAGGACATACAGTAACAGGTAGGAGGGTACCTTTGGTGTTGTCAAGAATTCGCTGGATAAGGACAGGATACTTTGTTATTCGCTGGGTCACCAGCAGGATGCACTCCTGGACACCATGGCGACGCAAAAGAGGACCTCGGCAGACTCTCTAAGTATCATGGGGCAATATAAAAACATAGACAAAAAAAGATTTTAATTCATGCATTTCCGTCTTCTGATGCATGCTCAATAATACAGGTAGAAAAATCCAAAAAAGTTCAATCTGGTCCTCTGGACATTAAAAAAAACAAAAAACAAAGAAAAAAAATGTAGATACGTTTTGTTTTTCATCCGAAAGACTTCCTCAGTGTGAGGTGCTGTGTTCAGCTCAGTCTCTTAAATAGCACCTTCTCAGAGTGGATCAACCAGTTCTATGTCGTATAAGCTTCGCCCTTTAAGGCCTTCGCTTTAGTGGGTTTATCCCGTTATGCGCAGCATAAGCACTGAAAAAATTTAGTCCACGCCCACCTGCTGTGTGGGCCCCACCCGGTCCGTATAAATTACGTTAAGAGCGGGAAATCGGCTCCCATTTTTTCTTCAGCGAGCTAAAAATAGCACTGTCAGAAGAACAAAGAGGATAAATTGTGTAAATGACCAACCTTTGTGAAGGATGCTTGGCCCGGCAGTCGACCTCCGGTCGTCCGGTGAGTTCTCCTCCCCGAGGAGAAGATGACGAGCAGTCTTATTCCAAGGTAAGCGCCGGGGAACATTTCCCAGTGACAGGTCACTACACGCTGGACAACGCCATCTTGTATTTTTTCCTCTTATTGCCGACCCTCGGGGCGAACCGGATGGTTCCTCCGGGACAAGGCGTGCTCAGCTGCAGCCCCGCTGCTCATTCCCTCCTGGGGAGCGTAGTGTCGGTGGAGGGGGGCTGAGTGAATGCTCACCCCATCCCACCTCGTTTTTCGCATCGGCGATCACACCGCTCCCGGCCGACGGCGCCCCCCAGGGTTTGCCCGGCGTAACCCAGGAGGAGGCTGACATGAAAGGACCCCTTTTTACGTCCTACGCCTTTTCCCGCCAGTTCGGATGATCCGGCTGGAAGGTTGTTTACTGACTCCATTCCGGCTCACCGTCTTGATCCATATGGCCTCGTGTTCCCAACAGGACGTCCTACGGCGAGGCCACAGACGGGTTTTTTCCTGGTAGATTGGGGGAGCCGGTCTCCACAGTCCGCACCCATCTCCAGAGCAGGGTTCACTGAGCGGAAAGTCCCTCCATGCCCTCTGGAGCCGAGCCTGATGGAGGCTCCATGGGAGTAAGATGTTCGAGGTGGACCAGCGTCCCGTGCCTCCCGTTAGCATAACCGAGACGGTGACATCGCTCTCCAACTGAGCTCATCAGCATGTGTTCCATGGCCGCAGCGAACAACACGTTACGCTGTTGGCGTACACGTTCAGAGGCGAGAAGAGACGGTGGCCCTCTGTCCTTCGGCCACCCCGCTCTCGTAGCAGCTGCTTGCTAACGACGCTGCCGGCCCCTGCAGTACGCTCAGCCTACAGGACAGCTGACGTCATCACCAACCGGTGCGCCTCTTCGCGGTCTGCCGCCCCACAGCGCAGCCGGAGAACGAGGTCCAGAGGTTTTTTCCTGGCTCGCCACTCCACCTTCCTCTCAGGAGAGACGCAGGAGTTTTGCTGGTGATCCTCCTTTCATCAGCGAGAGATCATTTCAAGCTGCTCCACGGCTGCTCTACGCCTCCCCAGCTCTGCTACGCCAGCCCCTCCCGTCAGACGTCCCCGGCATCCGGAAGTTCATTTTTTTTCCCGGACTTCGCCAACAGGGGGCCCTCCAGGACAACAAACAGAGCTCAACGAAGGTAAACAGGTGTCGTTTTTGGCTGGAGGTGTGTTGATGACACTGCGAATAACATCATTTTATGATGAAGTGTCCTTTAGCCAGACTGTCAGCATGGTTATCTGACAAGCGGCCCCATCACCCACAATCATCACAAATGAGCCTTTTAAGGTTGTTTTTCATTCACTGTCAGCGATGCCGATGCGCGCCCCCCGCGGCAGGAAGGTGCGCACGCAGCTCTCAACAACCGCCGTTCACGTCAACGTTCACGTGAGATCACGGTACGAGCTCAGCAACGTATTTCGCTTATCGGCAGAAACAACACAAGTTTTGTCATTGCAGTGATGTCAAACGCGCGCTCCCGCGGCGTTAGCAGTTTCACAGCCTCACAGCGGCTCTGCCCCTTTTATCCTCGAAGAAGGTTTTCTGAATTAATACTGCAGCTCGTGGAATCATTCTGAAGTTCACATGACTTGCAGCCAAGAATGAACGTGTTTTATGCAGACCGAGTCAGTGGTAGTCTCGTTTCACCGATGCCACGCACGGCTTCCTGACCGCTCCAGTGCCAACGCGCGCTCCCGCGGCGTCAGCAGCTCCCCAAGCCTCACAGCGGCTTAGCTCATACATCCTCAAAGAAGGGGTTTTTGTCTGAATTAATATTGCAGCTCGTGGAATCATTCAAAGCTCACGTGATTCGCAGCAAACAATGAACGTGTTTCTGCAGACCGAGCCAGTGGTAACCCAGTGCCAACGCGCGCCCCGCAGCAATCCTGGTGTAAAGCGTCGCATGATGACGCACACACACAACCCTTCAGGGCGCGTCAGCTCATATGTGAACCTGCTCCCGAGCGTTACACGGTGCAGCTGCACACAGCATAAACAAAGCTGTTTTTTTCCCGCAGCAATACACAACGTCTTGCGCTCTCACTCAGCGCGCTCCAGTTCACATCAGCATGTATGCGAGTTTCACAGCATAATGCGTACTCGTTTTATAACTTATAAACGGGTGGCAATGAACGCGCGTTTTCCAGAGGGATGGGCGAACCGTTTTCATCCGGGACTCACGCTGCAGTTCAGCTAAAACCCCGGTGTGGGGGAACCCTGTGACATTTTTTCTGTCATTTATGAACAGATCTCGTCCCCTCTAGCAGAAGCTCTGGAAATTCCTTTTTAAATGTAATTTCTAGAGCCTCAGATGGAGAGGAAACACCAGTTCTCTCTTATCACTTCCTGGTCCAAACGAACTGGAAAGATGAGATTTATTTGAGATTGTTAATTTTCTGAGCTGTGAGAACAACACTCCATTTTAATTATGCATTATCTGGACACCTGTGGCTGCTGAGCAGCTTGTTCAGACAGGTGGCAGCAGTGCAATTCACGTGAATGGTTGAGTGATATCAGCTGTTTTCTGTCAGCAGACCTACGTCACACACATTTAACAAGCTGTGGGGGCGCTGTGCTCCACACAGCAGCTGTTTTAAATGTTTTTTGGAGTGTCGCACGGGATCCTTGAATGTGACTCAACACTGACCTTGAGCTGCAGAATCATCAGGGGTTTTGATTCTCAGACAACAAGTGTCTGTCGCATACATACTAGCAGGAAATGTATGCATTTTTTCAACCCATGTGCCACATTGTGAGACAGATACTGTGTGGGGCACATCCAATCCGCTCTCCATTTGGAGTGGGTACATCGCATGTATCCCACCCAGAGCTAAGGCTCAGACACGGTAGAATCCTGCCAACGTCTGCTGATGTGTGGCAACACGAGAGAACGCTCAATGTCAATTATATTATCGCGGAACCATAGGACGATCCACCGCTGGGTGGACATTTTTTTTTTTTTTCATTTAGCCTTTATTTATCCAGGTTAGTCTCATTGAGCCACGAGAACTCATTTTCAAGAGAGACCTGTTTAGGGAGCACATGGTGGGGTTAAGGGCCTTGCTCATGGGCCCAGAGTGGGGCGAATGAGGGTGGGGGCAAGTGTGGGTGTTTCACCTACCCCACCCACAATTTTTGATGTTGTCGGGGCCGGGGCGTGAACCGGCGATCTTCGGATCACAAGCCCATCTCTCTAACCTCTTGACATGCCTACTCACAGCCTGTGGTCGTAATGCCTTTCACCTTCTCTCTCCCTCCGGTATCACGGTTTTCCGAACCGAGTTCAGGAGGAAGGACTGGCAGCCCCTCTGTTCCAAGTGCATGAACGCATCATGGTTCCCAGGCCTTACGACTTTTGTTATCAGGGCACTCGTGAACCTGCCGTTGGAGGGAGGACGCTTCCCCCCAGGCGGTGAGAAACGATCAGGAATTAATCAGAATAGGCCAGCACCTATGTTTTTGGACGCTGTGCGGTTCTTTTGGGAGGATGGATCTCTCAAGATGTAGTGCGTACGATTCAGGAGTCACGTGCTGCACCCACCACAGCGCTGTTCACACCAAGTGGTCTGTTTGGTCAACGCTGCTGTACAGAAAGGCGTAGAGGCCACCTCATGTCCATTGGACGACATGCTGTCCTTCTGCAGCAGCCGAGGGACAAAAATCTGGTGTCCAGCATGACTATTGTATGCTGCCACCGTGTTTTCTTCCTGTCTCAAAGTTGTCGTAGACAGAACAACTTCTATCATCCTCTGATGGAGCATTTTGTCTCAGATTGATATAGCGGCTGTGGGCCTGCTGTGACACGGGAAACGCTCAGTGTCAATTACGCACTTCTCTGAGCCCATGAGACGAACCACCTCTGGGGGTGGATGCGTTTGTTCACAGTCCATGGCCCAAAACGCTTCTGTATGCGTTTCTCTCCACCTCCTCCTATCTTACGGTTCTTGAACCGAGCTCAGGAGGAGGGATTGATAGTTCTCCTGGTGGCCCCGAGCGCGTGGGTGCACCATAGTTCCCAGTCCTGAAACGTCTGCTGTCGGAGTGCCCGTGGAAACTGCCGTGGAGGGAGGATGCTCTCCTTCAAGCAGGAGGAGCGATCAGGAGTTACCCAGAAATAGGCCAGCACCTGTGGTCTGGCCGTTGAACAAATCCTCTTACAGAGGATGGGTTGCCCACAGGATGTAATGCGCACAATTCAGTTTTCACGTGTTGCATCTACCACAGCGATGTACACATCAAAGCGGACAGCTTTTCAGTGCTGACGTACAGAGAAGGATGTAGAGGCCTCCTCATGTTCTTTAGTTGGCATGCTGTTCTTTCTGCAGCAGCTGATGGATAGAAATCTGCATCCAGCACGTTTAAAACATACGCTGCAGCCATCTCTTCCTGACATGAAGGTTTCTGAGACAGAACAGGTTTTATCATCCTCTGATGAAACGTTTTCTAAAAGGTGTACAGAGACGCAGGTCTGTCCCACACCCACTTGTTTTCCAGTGGGATTTAATACTGGTCCTGCAGGTCATGATCAAAGCTTCATTTGAGCCTTTGGATCAGGTTCCACTTAAATTCTTGTCTCTTGAAACAGCACTGCTGCTGGCTTTAACACCCGCTAAGAGAGTGAGTGTTTTTTATCTGCCTTCTTTGTCGCTCCGTCATATCTCAGAATCCAGGCTGACGGTAGTTAAGCTGATTTAAGACCAAACCCAGCTTTTATGCCTAAAATCATCACAAGCTCTTTTAAATCAAGAGCGGTATCGTTGGAGGGGTTTCTCCCCCCCCCCACACAGATCAGAAGAAGAAGCATATTTCCATCTTCTCTGTCCGGTGCGGGCGTTGACGTGCTACATAGCGCGCACAGCTGTAATGTGTCAAATTCAACACCTGTTTGTGCATTATACAGATGCATCTGCAGGTCGCCCGTTATCCACCCAGCGCTTGTCACACTGGCTGTGTGAGGCCATTTCTGAAGCCTACAAGCATCAGATTTAGAGCCTCCTGTCAACCTCAAAGCACACTCGACCAGGGTTATCGCATCTTCGACTGCTCTGCATAATGGTATGTCAATGCAGGACATTTGCACTGCGGCTGCATGGTCAACACCCTGCTCATTTATTCGCTTTTACCTACGTGATGTGACGGCTCGTTCCATGACACATTCTGTTCTTAGTGCTCTAACAGAATGAATATTGTTGTTTTTCATGGAACTCTGTTTAAGTTCACATCTGTCTGCATGCACTACAGTGTGAGATGTTGTTATCAGTCACAAGTTGTGTCTGTGACTTTGGTTCTATTGTCACTAATCAGTTCATGACTATTGTTACCAATCAGTTCATTTGATCAATAATCAGTTCATTGATATTAATCTGTTAATATTGTTCAGCCATGAACCAGTTGGTTCATGCCCCCCCCCACCCTCCCCTCCTTTCAACATCTTCTCCCCGTTGAAAGTTTTCCGGGGCGTCCATGTTTTGTCAGAACGCATAGTTACACAACATGCGTCTGTGCATGGCACATAATTACGCGATGCGTAGTCATGCACACGGGGAGCTGAGTGACAAGACGTTTTTTTTGGTCAAGCTTCCGCTTCTTACTGTGTTCGAATGGACCCAGTGAGGCGAGGACCACATCCGCTTCGCCCTTAACCCATCAGCGACAGCCTTAAAGGGCGAAGCCTATATGACATAGAACGTTGGTTACGTACTGTAACCCCAGATTCTATGAATATAGGCGTAGCCCTTTAAGCGTCGGGCCTCACTGGCTCCTGAATAGCTGAAGAAAAAATAAGCTATTTGGGAGCAGATTACCCGCTCTTAATGTAATTTATACGGATCGGGTGGGGCCCACACAGCAGGTGGGCGTGGACTAATTTTTTTCAGTATGACGCTTGCGCATAACGGGATAAACCCATCAGCGACAGCCTTAAAGGGCTACGCCTATATTCATAGAATCTGGGGTTACAGTACGTAACCAACGTTTTTTTCAGCTGAGACGGCTGTCTAAGCTGAAGCCTATACTCTCCAAGAAGAACCTTGAGACAGTGATCCACGCCTTCATAACATCTAGGCTTGATTACTGCAATTCACTTCTGTTTGGAATCAGTCAGTCCTCCATTGCTCGTCTACAACTGGTCCAAAATGCTGCAGCCCGATTTTTAACTGGTACAGGCTATAGAGAGCACATCACGCCAGTTTTGGCCTCCCTGCACTGGCTACCCATTCACCTTCGGATCCAATTCAAAATTCTCATGTATGTTTTTAAATCACTGAACAGTTCCGCCCCATCCTATCTCACTGATCTTCTGCAGCCATATGTCCCACCGCGCTCTCTGAGGTCAGCAGACCAGATGCTTCTCTCAGTCCCAGAAACCCATCGTAAGCTCAGAGGTGACAGGGCTTTCTCTGTTGCAGCTCCACGTCTGTGGAATGAGTTGCCACTGAGTGTCCGGCAGGCTCCCACACTCTCAGTCTTTAAGTCTCGCTTGAAGACCCACTTCTATTCTCTTGCCTTTAACACGTTGTGATTTGTTTTGGTCCGGTTTGTTCTCTTCTCTGTTGGCCATTTTAGTTAGCTTCTGCTGCTATTTGTATCTGTATTTCTATTTTATGTTTTCCTGTCCGCTGTGCATGTTTGTTTCTTTTGTACAGCACATTGGTTTGTCCTTGTTGCTGTTTTAAGTGCTCTATAAATAAATTGGTATGGTATTTAGGACAAGTTTGAGGTGGAACAAATCTATCTGGATGTTGTTGAATGCAGATTTCAAAAGCTGGAAAGCCTTTTCAACTGTTTCAGCTCGACAATAAACAACTGTGTCATCAGCATAGAAATGTATGGCTGCATTAGGGATGTTTTTACCTACATTATATATGTAGATTGTATCTGGTCCAGAGTACCGGATTTAATGTTTTTAGATTTTTCTACCTGTATTATTGAGCATGCATCAGGATATTGAACAGGAAGGCATTTCTTTGTTTAATTTATATTTTTGTAACACACTTGATAACTTTATAGAGAATATGTCACGATTCTGTCCCAGTCATGTTCTGCCTTCGTGTTCATGCCTCAAGTCTCTGAGCTGCCTGTCCCCCATCTCTGAGTTCTCCCTGCTCTGCTCACTCTTGGCCATGCCCCCTTGTTTTCCCTGCTGCAATTACTCCTCATGACTTCCACCTGCTCACAGCTCTATTTAAGCCATAGCTCTTCAGTCATCCAGTGCCAGATTATTGAAAGCCTTGTGTGAGTAAATGTCCAGCGTTTTTGCCAAAGTCTTGCCTGTCCTTCATGTTCTGATCCCACGCCTGTCTTCTGGATTCTTCACCTAACTTTGCCCTTGCCTGTTCTGGACTCTGAAATCTGACCACGGTACCGACCCAGTTTCTGATTATCTTGACTACACGTCCTGGATTATCCTCTGGATTTGGATTCTGATCTCTGACCAACGGTTCTTGACCCAAGCCTGCTCCACTGGACCTTCTCCCTGGATTTTCCCCAAAGCTGCACCTAGTGATGTCAAAATGAAGCTTTTTGAAGCATAGAATCATTTTGAACCATTGTGTCATAAAGTGGTTCACTATCCGAAGCTTCATTCAATTCCCTTGGGTGACATCTACTGGCAGTAGCGATTGTTGCACCAACTGAAGTCCTGCGAATATGATGCACTTCTTGCGTAACTAATAGCACTTATGTTTGTATATATGTGTGTTGTACATGTGTTTTTAGTACCTCATTAAAGATTCTGAGTAATTTACCCATATAACTGTAGGCTAATTTAAAAACAATGTGAACTGTCGGGGGGGGGGGGTCCGTGTGTCCTCCCCCAGAAAAATTGGAATAAAAGAGATGTCATTTCCTGCATTTTGGTGTATTTTAACAGGTTGTTAAACATTTGAATAAACTGATTAAAAGCTGGTCTCTCTTGTAAATTCGAGGCTCAATGAGGCTAAACCTGTATAAATAAAGGTTGAATTGAAATTACTATTTTAGAGAGCAACAATTAACAAGCCTGTGTATGAATGCATGTCCTTGACAGTCTCAGGTGTCCTAACACACACACACACACACACACACACACACGCACACACACACACACACACACACACACCCCCACACACACACGCACACACACACAGACACACACCGCCGACCTGACCTCTTCTCAGCTGAGTTCAGTCCTGTGTGTTCTCCAGTCTCTCTGCCATCCATCCATTTATTTTAGATCAATTGTCTTTTCAACATTTTGGTCACTTTGACTAATTAGTGCCGTTGTTTTGATACGTGATGTAATCCACATCAAACATTTCACTCGTTTTTGTTTGTTCACTGTGAGCTTATTTATTACATCTGAAATGTTGTGCACTGTAATGTGCGCAGGAGTTCCGACACAGCAGTTGTGCGCGCGTCCTGCAGTCCGTGTCCCTGCTGGAGAAGCGTGGCGCGGCCACAACATCCACTCGTTGTACTTTTAATAAATAATCAAAATAAAAATGCTCAATGACTTTGGACTTTTAGTGGCGGAGTTGTCGGATCCGAGTGGTCAAAATTATAGTTCCCAGATCTCTAACCCACATATCTCTACAGACCTGACCTGGGCCTGGAACCAGACCTCCTCCAGCAGCAGTTTATTAATAAATCATTTTAACCACTCCTGGCTTGTTTTTTGTCATGCACAAATCCTAAAACCCACTCTTGTCAGAATAGTGGAGGATAGAAAATGTGAACGCACGTTGGGAAGACTGTTTGTTTCAGGACTTAAAGTGTTAAAACAGGTTTAAAAGTAGATGTTTAGATTCTTGGGGTGGACAAAGCTAAACATTTTCAGCCATTATATCAGTTATCGGCATTAGCCTTACTGCCACAATATCAATATCAGCAATAGCATATACAAAGTATTTCCATATTGGCCAGGCTCTAATAAAAATGTTTGTGTTTTCAGACCTGCAAGGCATGAAGCTGCGTGCTCACATTGACCAGTCGCTGATGGATTTCCTGTGATAAACAACAAACTGTTAACATGTCAAAACATGGACAGAACCAGAACACATGAAAGGTGCAGTACCTCGTTCAGGCTTTGTTCCTGCAGCTGGTTACCATTTGTGTCCTGAAATGGAAAAATCACAGCAACATTCAGCATTCAGACATTGACCCAGATTAGCTCATATTAACCTCAAACTAACCAAATAACTCAGATGAACATTTAGTAACTTACACTAACTGTAACCTGGTCCAACAATCCATACAAACTCTGTTTAACTCAGACTAACAAGTCAGTTCACATTAAATACGATGAAATCAGGAGACGAGGAGTTTTACCTTCGAAGAGCTGTTGTTGAGTTTAACAGAACCGTTCAGAGACCCAGAGTCACCATCTGAGAGAGACACACGAAGCAGGTGAGACAGACAAACAGGTGAGACACACTGACGAGACAGATGAGACACGTGAGACAGGCAGGTGAGACACAGACAGACAGGTATTGGGGAGTACAGTAGTCCCTCGCTACTTTGCGGTTAGTTTTTCACGGACTCTCTATCGTGGTTTTTCAAAATAAGATTGGACATGACACACAATTGGCTGATTGATGGATGAGCCGCATAATCGACATGGAATTTTTATTTAAAATAAATTATTTTAATTACTTAGCACCTCCTGCACTTCTGTGCAGCCCACACTGCATAAGCATCTCCTGCAGCTGATCAACTGTTCGTGCAGAGCAGAGAAGTGGGCGTGGCCAATAGTGTTTGCAGGTGGCTGAGAGCAGAGGAGGCAGGGAGCTGAAATCATGACATTCTGTCTCTTTTAGAGCGTTTAGAGTTTAGAAACATTTTTTAGAATATTGCAAGAGTGTGGGAAGGGTTTAAGGGTAAGGATCCCCCACGATAATTCAATTCAATTCAATTCAAAAACACTTTATTAATCCCAGAGGGAAATTATTTGTTGTTGTAACTTGTTATCCTCATTTCATTAAGAGATGTTATAGATGCTGATGGCTGTAGACAGGAAGGATCTCTTGTAAAGGTCCATTCCACAGTTGATCCTAAGAAACTGGCTGCAGATGCCGTCCAATCCGTCCACCCAGACTCGGCTGGCCTCTCGGTTCCCCTCGGGCTGTAGGACCGCCCAAACGCTGGGCAGAACTCCTCCCAGAGCGATGGCCACTCCTCCCAGCAGTCTGCTGAGCTCCTCGTAGCTGCAGACAGCCAACTGTAGGTGCCGAAAGACGATCCTGTCCTTCTGCTGTCATGAGCTGTGTTTCCTGCTAGTTCCAGGATCTCAGTGGTCAGGCACTCGAGCACAGCCGGCAGGTAGACGAGAATGCATCCACAGAACATCCTTTCAACTCATTTGAGATTTGGGGCTGTAGTTGAGATATTATTTGAGCTTGAGATGTTAATCAGCTGCTGTTGGTTGTAGAAAACTGCCTTGTTGCCATGGTTACGCATCATAACAAATGTCCAAAACTATAACAGTTTCAGTAAAAATCCTTCCAGCTGCACAACATCTGATACCAGAGGAAACAATCATCCAACAAATGTGATTTACATCCAGAAAAAGAGGAACTAAAGTTTCCAAAAGCAAATTCTCAGAATGAAAGTAACAGAGCTGCTCCAACATGCAGCCACCTGGAGCGGCGCAATTCTAGAACAAACGGGAACAAACAAATAAACGTGGGACTACTGTAATACGTTGGCTCTTAAGACTTCCTGTTTGTATGAAGATGTGTTAGAGGTGTAGAGGAGGACAGGAAGTAGGTGTCACGTGACTCACTGCGAATCTCCTGGTTGCCGTTGCTCATGGAGGACCTCAGGGAGCTGGACTGGGACAGCAGGACAGCCAGTCTGTCGACTGAAATGAAAAAGACAGACAGGTTCAGTTCTCCGAGCAGGTCCAGGAGGAGAGCCAACAGATGCCTCCTTACCTTCACTCATGGCAGCTAGGAGGAGTGGCTCAGCTTTGGGGGCATGAGGAGTGTCAGCCCGAAACAAGTTTCTGCAGGTGGAGGTCTTAACCTCCACACCTCGCTCCTCTTCTGTTTCTCCTCGAGCTGCCGCCTGCACCAGGTCTGAAAACAGGGTGACGCGCTCCTGCAGGAGTTCCAATACCTCCCTGTCCTTCTGCTGGATGTCAGCTGTGGAGAAGGAAGAGGAGGACAGGGAGAAGTATACCATCAGTAAACCACCTGGGCTTTCTGTGAGGGTTGTGGATTAAAGCTGTTTGTGTTTAAGAGCAATTCAACAGGAGGAGAAAGAGGAGGTGCAGCAGGAAGTGCAGTACCTCTGAGCCGGCGTACTAAAGCTTTGTCTTCAGTTTCAATAAGTGGAAACTTGTCCCTGGAGGGACAGCTGCAGACAAAAGACAACACTTTAATTACTCTAACTACTCCGAAGTACCTGTGAATACTGCGAGGACTCACCTGAGAGCGGTCTGCTGGATGCGGATCATCCAGGTCTTGCGGTCTTCTTTGGATGTAGCAAACAGCTCATACATCTCTGGAGGTGTGGAGTCACTGATCAGGTACATCCCTCGCTCCTGATTGGCTACTTCTCTGACTATCAGGTTGTTCAAGGAGACGACTGGAGACTTGTCCTGAGACACACAGGTAAGGAGACAGGTGAAACTGTCCCAAAGTCCAACAACCATGCTAAAAATTCAGGTAATGGACCAAAATTCTAAAGGAGGGGAAATATATTCTTGAAATATTCCAGCTGCATATTAGATGAGATGTGATCTGTTATAACCAGGTGTGATCTGGTATACACCAGGTGTGATCTGTTATAACCAGGTGTGATCTGGTATACACCAGGTGTGATCTGTTATAACCAGGTGTGATCTGGTGTCACCAGGTGTGATTTGATATAACCAGGTGTGATCTGGTATACACCAGGTATGATCTGGTATAACCATGTGTGATCTGTTATAACCAGGTGTGATCTGGTGTCACCAGGTGTGATCTGGTGTCACCAGGTGTGATTTGTTATAACCAGGTGTGATCTGGTATAACCATGTGTGATCTGTTATAACCATGTGTGATCTGGTATAACCATGTGTGATCTGTTATAACCAGGTGTGATCTGGTATACACCAGGTGTGATCTGGTATAACCA